GAGTGAGATTAACAAGTTAAGGAAGCCTAGAGAACAAATGGATTTGTCAGTTAAAAATAGGAGAGGAGAGTTATTAAATGGGGAGTTAGAGGTATTGGGAAGATGGAGGGAATATTTTGAGGAATTGTTAAATGTTGATGAAGATAGGGAAGCTGTGATTTCGTGTATAAGGCAAGGAGGAATAACATCTTGTAGGGGTGAGGAAGAGCCAGTTGTGAGTGTGGGGGAAGTTCGTGAGGCAGTAGGTAAAATGAAAGGGGGTAAGGCAGCCAGGATTGATGGGATTAAGATAGAAATGTTAAAAGCAAGTGGGGATATAGTTTTGAAGTGGTTAGTGCAATTATTTAATAAATGTATTGAAGAGGGTAAGGTACCTAGGGATTGGCAGATAGCATGCATAGTTCCTTTGTATAAAGGCAAAGGGGACAAAAGAGAGTGCAAAAATTATAGGGGGATAAGTCTGTTGAGTATACCTGGTAAAGTGTATGGTAGAATTGTTATTGAAAGAATTAAGAGTAAGACGGAGAATAGGATAGCAGATGAACAAGGAGGCTTTAGGAAAGGTAGGGGGTGTGTGGACCAGGTGTTTACAGTAAAACATATAATCTTATTTTTTTATTATCACACTGGCCGATTCCCACCAAGGCAGGGTGGCCCGAAAAAGAAAAACTTTCACCATCATTCACTCCATCACTGTCTTGCCAGAAGGGTGCTTTACACTACAGTTTTTAAACTGCAACATTAACACCCCTCCTTCAGAGTGCAGGCACTGTACTTCCCATCTCCAGGACTCAAGTCCGGCCTGCCGGTTTCCCTGAACCCCTTCATAAATGTTACTTTGCTCACACTCCAACAGCATGTCAAATATTAAAAACCATTTACCTCCATTCACTCCTATCAAACATGCTCACGCATGCCTGCTGGAAGTCCAAGCCCCTTGAACACAAAACCTCCTTTACCCCCTCCCTCCAACCTTTCCTAGGCCGACCCCTGCCCTGCCTTCCTTCCACTACAGACTGATACACTCTTGAAGTCACACTCTGTTTTGCTCCATTCTCTCTACATGTCCAAACCACCTCAACATCCCTTCCTCAGCCCTCTGGACAACAGTTTTGGTAATCCCGCACCTCCTCCTAACTTCCAAACTACGAATTCTCTGCATTATATTCACACCACACATTGCCCTCAGACATGACATCTCCACTGCCTCCAGCCTTCTCCTCGCTGCAACATTCATCACCCATGCTTCACACACATATAAGAGCGTTGGTAAAACTATACTCTCATACATTCCCCTCTTTGCCTCCAAGGACAAAGTTCTTTGTCTCCACAGACTCCTAAGTGCACCACTCACCCTTTTCCCCTCATCAATTCTATGATTCACCTCATCTTTCATAGACCCATCCGCTGACACGTCCACTCCCAAATATCTGAATACATTCACCTCCTCCATACTCTCTCCCTCCAATCTGATATCCAATCTTTCATCGCCTAATCTTTTTGTTATCCTCATAACCTTACTCTTTCCTGTATTCACTTCAAGAGTGTATCAGTCTGTAGTGGAAGGAAGGCGGGGTAGGGGTCGGCCTAGGAAAGGTTGGAGGGAGGGGGTAAAGGAGGTTTAGTGTGCGAGGGGCTTGGACTTCCAGCGGGCATGCGTGAGCGTGTTTGATAGGAGTGAATGGAGACAAATGGTTTTTAATACTTGACGTGCTGTTGGAGTGTGAGCAAAGTAACATTTATGAAGGGATTCAGGGAAACCGGCAGGCCGGACTTGAGTCCTGGAGATGGGAAGTACAGTGCCTGCATTCTGAAGGAGGGGTGTTAATGCTGCAGTTTAAAAACTGTAGTGTAAAGCACCCTTCTGGCAAGACAGTGATGGAGTGAATGATGGTGAAAGTTTTTCTTTTTCAGGCCACCCTGCCTTGGTGGGAATCGGCCAGTGTGTTAATAATAAAAAAAAAAATGCTAATGTCAACTCTATGACTTATTTATCTATCACAATTGATCTAATATGACATGATAAATAATATAAATAACATAGAAACACGATGAATAAAATATGTCATTATGTGATGAGTGGTGGCAGTTACTCCCGAGGCCAAAATAATTATCGCTCTGACCATATCTTCCCATTCTTGCCCTTTTGAGGTTTTATTGTAACAGAAAGTGGAATGTTTACAAGGCTAACTGCACTAGATTTATAGGTTTATATAAATTAGACTCATTTATAATAAATAGAACTATTGTACAACTATGATAAATTTCTCTAGTGTTAAGTAGTCAGTAAGACATTAAATTAAGTCAGCCCATAATGCCTAGGCATAATAGAGGCTCTCTTTGCACTGCAACCCATTATTGTAAATACATAGCCCCAATGTACTACTTGCAAATAAATAAATAAATAAATATGAATTTGAATTTAGATCACTAGTTTCATTAGGAAAACATGCCACTCGTATTTTTCTATGATTTCGTGCTTTAATTCAATGGACATCATCCTCTTCTTCTCAGCACTGTCCTTTGCACTTATTTTCTTAGGACCCATGGTTAGAAAAAAGAAATTTGGCAAAATAACTGCACAAAATGCAAGCACAATACGAGAGATGCTTCCATGGCGACGTAACCACGTGTATTGCTGTGGCATTCGCTGTGCCAACTAGTGGCAGCGTATCTAAAGCTCGCTCATAACTTGGATTTTGGCTCTCAATTCAAAGCAAAAAATCAACCGAGTGATGTCCCGAAACTGAGAAAACTTGTAAGTTGGGGCACTCATAAGTCAAGGTACCACTGTATATCCATGACTAATTTCCATCTGTCCACTATTCATTGCAGCTTTGTTAACCCTTTCACTGCCGGTGCCGTGTGCTGAAAACCCAGACGACCATCAACCTAGGATAACCCAAAAAAGTCAAAGTGACTTATTTCCATATGGGTGGTGGGGAAGACTGCATGCTTGTTGGGGAAAACGGTATGGGTAATGGGTGGGGGTGGTAGTTGTGTAATGCATGATTCGGCACCAGCCATGCTGCTCTCAGCACAACAACAAAGGCTACCTTCACCCATCTACACACAAACAACTTTCCACAAGCTGTAACAGTTCTAGGAATGTGTCCAGTGACTCTTTATATGTATATATATATATATTATAGAACAATAATAATAAACAACTTTTTTTTACTGCTGGGTTGTGTAAACAGGTTTTGTAACCAATATAATGATAATGTTTGTGCAGTTATTGTGTTGCATACAATGAGTGGATATCATATATGCATTACACATTATATTGGTTTCACAGGCCACAAAAGATACTAGAAAAATAATTAAAAAAAAAAAAAAAAAAAAAAGTAGAATAAAGGTAAAAATAATAATACCGAGTTAGCTGCATTCGCTGATGTTGCAGTAAGCGGTTCACTGTCAACTTCATGCCTCTATATTTCGTTAAGTACTGAATGCAAAATTCTTGCATTTTTTTTAAAACTCACAAAAATATTCTTGAGATTTTGGTAAGAATTTTTTTTTTTTTTTTAATATTTTTCGACATAGAGAGCGACGTCAGGATCAGAGGTCTCGACAGTGAAAGGGTTAATAAAGCACATGGTGAGGGGTAGTGAGCCATTTTCCTCTTGAAAACTTCTACACTTGTTAAAGCAATATCTCTGAAATCAGCTGAATATCAGTAGCAATTATTAACCCTTTCAGGGTCGCGACCACTGCTCTCAAACTTGTTCTCAGGGTCAGAAAATTTCCCCCAAAGAAGTTATTTTTTCTTATGAAATGGTAGAGAATCTTATTCTGAAGATAATAAAATAAAAAGTACAAAATTCGATGGAAAGCTGATGATATTACGCTTTCACAAATTTTCCTGTGTCAGCGATATTTAAGCATCGGCTATTTCATCCACTTTGAGTCCGATTTTAGGCTAATTCCATTGTACCAGTTGCCCAAATTCTTAGCTATTTCACTAGTATGCCTTTCATTCTCTTGAGTGAGTACAAGAAACTGCCCATTAAACTATTTAAACTACCCAATAAAGTGATCAGAAATTGGTAATCTGGCCAATTTCACACAAAATTCAAGAAATGCCAATTCCAGAATAAACAATGTAGACATTCTTGGTACTAAAATAACATTTCCTATGTTCATCAGTCATGTCCCCAGGCCTCTCCTATATTATGCAGGCATTCCATTTTGAATTTTTATTCACACACAAAACACAGAAGATTTACTGTTATGAAGACTACTGCATTATTGTAATAACTGTATAAATAATGTCAGTGCATTCATAAATGAGTATTAGAGTGGCCAGATGGACATGTATTGGACAAGTGATGTCATTTGTGTACTTTGGAATATCAGCAAAAATAAAAAATTTCTATTCTCATGAGCTCAATTTCAAACTACTGTCAGTCCTCAAAACCAATCAAAATCATCTCTATTTCTGTAATATATCCTCTATTCTATCAAATGAGACCAAGAAACCAAGAATACAACAATAAATCCACATGAAAAATACAATGCAATTTGCTGTTTTAAACCAAAAACACGGTTGCCGTTATTTTTCCCATTATGCAATGCTTGCTGCAGGATTTTTTTTTTACATGGTGCACACTTACTGGATAGACCCATTCTCTCATATTTAGGCCCAAATTTACTGCTCACAGCTTATCTGAGTAAGCTGAGTGACACTGGCTTCAAAGCTACACAAAAACAGGACTGACCTCAAAAGGGGTTAATGAAAATATGATCCTGGCTGTTTTAAGTAAATATCCTAAATTTGCTTTAAACAGATAAAATGAATTTTGTAAATATATATCCAGATGTACTACTCTTGTTAAGCTTTTGGAGACATAGTTCTTAGGCTTTTTGTGCATCCATACGTTCTTGCACTATTGACCACAGGATGGATATGAAGTAAACAATAAACTACTCAGTTCATCAGCAAAATCTAATTATATATTTCACCACAGATTCTTAAGCTACAGTAGTGCCTACTTTACCTTGAGATTTTTAATGATGAGAGTGCCATGAGGAGGTACACGTAGGATTTCACAGTGTAGTCTGGAGATGTAATGACTAGTAAAAATAAAATCACACTGCTTGTTACGGCCAATCACGAACTAGAAAGCAAAAATTTGTGTTAGATGTATTTCTTAAAATGAGCATTATTTTCAATTAAGGTATTTTACAGTAACTCTACACCACAGAAAATAAGCATTATATAATGTAATACAATTTATGGCTTAGAAAAGCAATAATAAACCTAAGAAACATTTTCAAATGCAGTGAATGCTACAGCAGAAAAAGAAATACTGTTTAATTCAAACCCCTGTAATATTGCACAAAATGTGTGTAAAAGAAATCAATGAAAAAGTGGGCAGATGGGTATTTGACTTTCTAACAGAATGCAAGGAATAATAGTGAACAAAGTAAAATCAAAGGATGCCATGATGAAAAGCCCTTTTCATCCTCAACCCACTGTTCTGGCCACCACAAGCTGCTCCACTATCCTGCCACACATCACCACCACCACCACTCCTGTTGCTTTCTCTTCTAGAAGCCATTCACTGTGGAATGTACCAGGGAAGCTTCTATGTATCTGTGCTGGAGTTACTACCACAATTAGCAAACAAAGCTGTTAAGATAAATTTGTATGGCTCTGTAGAAGAGATAACACATAACAGATGTAGTAACCCATAAATGGTCCAAAATGTACATATACGTTCTTACTGTTAGTGTTCCCAAACATATATGTTTTATTTTTCCTGCCTCCAAATCTTGCATGATTGGCCTGAGATGCCTGGTCAGAATAGAATGGGTTTTAACACTTGGTGTGCACCATATAAAAAATCTGGGACCACTTAATACCTTGTGGGAGCGTCAGTTAAAATGAGCCCCAGCTAGAGCAAACAGTGTGGCAAACACCAAGGATTCACTGATGTAATGTCATATTAACACTCCCCTTTTAAGAGGAAAGTGATGTTGACCCCAAGTTTAGGGTCTGTCTGTCTGTCTATCTCTATCTCTGTTTATCTCTGTCTCTATCTCTGTCGATCTGTCTCTGCCTACCTCTTCTTATCTCTGTCTCACAGGTACACATAAATACAATTATACATAGTGTAAATTATCTAGGATAACCTAAAAAATCAAAAGTGCTATACTGTGCTTGTAGATATAATGCATATGAATACCTGCTGGTTCACAGTGGTTCTCTCTGAGACAGAGAGATAAGCAGAGAGATGGAGAGACAAGCAGACATAGAAAGACAGAGAGACAGATAAGCAGAGACAGAGATGCCGATGCTCATCAAATGTCATCCCTTATCTCATCTTATCTCTGCACCCTCGCAGGCACCCATCAAATGTCATCCCTTATCTCATCTTATCACTGCCGTCCCAGATGCCTGTCAGTGACATCATGCTTCAAAAGAACTTCTTCTTTCTTCTTCTATACTCCTGTGTATCCAAAACATTGCTGGGGCCTATAAATACAGTGGACCCCCGGTTAACGATATTTTTTCACTCCAGAAGTATGTTCAGGTGCCAGTACTGACCAAATTTGTTCCCCTAAGGAATATTGTGAAGTAGATTAGTCCATTTCAGACCCCCAAACATACACGTACAAACGCACTTACATAAATACACTTACATAATTGGTCGCATTCGGAGGTGATCGTTATGCGGGGGTCCACTGTATGTACTTTGTATATATTCCAAGACAACAGTAAATGACCAAGGCAGGTGTAAATGTCCACCTGTCAGTGTGTTTGTGACAATTTGAGTACAATTTCAGTACCTAATACTAGTGTCAGAACAAAGATTGGTTATGAAATAACAAGAACTACTATAAATTGTAATTATCAGAATATAAAAATTATATAAAGTAATATGAAAACAAGAAAAAAGGCACTGTATATTGGCAACACTTCTGCAAGCGGTAGGACTCCATGTTGCTGTCAGGTGATCGCCAAGTGCTAACTTTGTACCCTCTTATGTCAGTAAGTACTGACCCTAAAAAAAATTTTTTATCCTATAACACTTAGAAAAATGTGCTCTTTATTTCTATATATATAAAAAAAAAATTATTTTTCAAAATATTTGGGGCAATAGCGGTAAGAACTTACATATACTTTGGATCATTTATGGGTTAAATATTAATAAGGAAAGAGCATGGTCTTTCATCAAGAGCCTACCAGAGATTAACAGAAAATAGAAGGAAATCAAGACAGATGGCATAGTAGGTAAAAAGAGTTAGAAACTAAGATATAAAACAACACAGATGAGACAGGCACAGTGATACATACCAGCAATGATAGATGATACAAACATAGAACTAGAAAGACAAAATGAGGAATGCAAGAAATACACACACAAAGCAGGACAGCAAGGAAAACCTGGCAAACATAGGAGCAGAGCAAGGTAGTCAGGAAAACCCAGAGAAAGGTGGCCAGGAAAATCCTGTGCAGGGTAGCAAAGTAAAACCAAGAAGTGCTAAAGTAGAGGAGACAGAGACTGTCAAAGAAAAAGAGAGGAAAGATGCACTGTTTAGATAGCATTATGCCAAAAAGTTCTGCAACTATGGAAAAGGATGTAGATACATACATATCAAAACTTGTACAGGTCCGCCATCACAAATCCGGCAATCAGTTATTCGGTTCCTTCAGTTATTCGGCACTAATTTTGGCTAGCATAATTTCAAATTTCCAGGGTCGCCACACCAACCTGCTGGCACTGTTTGGTGGCGCTGCTTGCTGCATAAATCATTCCAATTTCTTTTTCTCCATTTATTGTTTTAACCTGCTTACTTTTAGCCCTAGCCATGGTTCCAGTGAATAAAAGAAATGCTTCTCATTATGTAAAGCACCTACATAGTACATTATCCATTAAAGATAAGGTGGCTTTGAAGCCACTGTCGGTTGCTGTGAGCTCAGTCTCATGAAGCAGGAGCATATGCTTTATTATTATGCTAATATCAACACTACAGCTTATTTGCCTATTACAATTGATCTAGTATGACATAAGAAACAATATAAATAACATAAAACATGTTAAATACTCCAGAATGAATAATATTTGGCATAACACCGAGCAGTTCGACAAAGTTATGTAGAGGATATGGTAAACAAATACCATTCTCCTGTCCCTGTCTTGGGGCTCATATTAGAGAAAATGGAGTGTAGCACAGGACTAACTGTGATATACACTCGTACTCCACCATAAACATAAAACAAAAAGGTTATTTTCTCTCTATAGATTATCACACATAGCAGCATATGTGTAGAGAACCTAGGATAACCCCAAAAAAGTCAACGTGGCTTATTTTTAGTACCTGGCTTGGGTTAGCCTATATGATTTTTGGTAAATATTCGATTCCCAGCCAGGGTAGAAACATTAGGCATGTTTCTTTACACCTGTTGTCTATGTTTACCCATCAGTAAATGGATACCTGGGTGTTAGTCGACTAGTGTGGGTGTTATCCTGGGACAATGACCTAATTTTCTTGAAATACTCAGCGTAACAAGTGCCTTTCTATACAGTAGTATGTCACTGATGTCAGCTAGGCCTGTATACCTTGTACATGTACATGTAGTAAATAAAGATATTACACCTACCATCCGACTTACGACCTGCTCGACTTACGACCACTCAACTTACGACCGTGTTTTTTATGCCAAATTTCTGGGAAATAAACAACTATTTGTGTTGTACACAGTGTTTATCCTAAACCTTACAGCATAAAATACAGTACTAACAGCATAAAAAGTAAAGTAAAACATGAAATACCGAAATAAAACAATAAAAACCAGTCATTACAAAAATGTTATGTTGATATTCAGTAGTAAAGTTCGACTTACGACCGGTTTCTCGGAACCGAACTCAGTCGTAAGTCGGATGGTAGGTGTATTATTACATTATTATTATTATTTTCTCAGTTGTTTGTTGGGTTATCTTATTCAAACTTGGGCAATGTATGATGGAAAGATACTTCATGTACACCAAAAATGAAAGAAATCAGACCATAAATAGCGGAGTTCACTTCTCAGCCATTAGCGGCCGCTTTGTGGTATATTTTTGTATGGCTGTTATGGTTATATTCTCATTTTTTCGGTCTCATTTGATAGAATGAAAGATATATTACAGAAATAGATATGATTTTGATTGCTTTCATGATGAAAAGTACCTTGAAATTGCACTCACAGTAGCGAAAATGTTCTATTCTTTAGCGAAGCTCAAGAGTAAACAAATGACGTACGTCACAGTCTAATACCTGTCTGCCTGCCAGTCCAAATTCCAGTACGGACTCAAGAATGGATTGACATTATTTATACAATTATTACAATAATGCAGTAGTCTGCATAACAGTAAATCTTCTATTTTTTTTTTTGTGAATAAAAATTCCAAATGGTAAGCAAGAGTAATATAAGAGGGGCCTGTAGCCGTGACTAATGAACAGAGAAAATGTTATTTTAGTGCCAGGAATGTCTGCATTGTTTATTTTGGACCCTATTTTGAAATTGGCATCTGTTGAAATTTGTGTGAAATCGGCCAAATTGCCAATTTCTGACCACTTTATTGGGTAGTTGAAATAAGTGAATGGGCAGTTTCTTGTACTCAGTTGACAGACTAAAAGTAAATAAGTTTATTCAGGTATACACAAATACAGTTACATAGATTATCATACACAGCAGTGTATGTATAGAGAACCTAGGATAACTCAGAAAAGTCAGACAAAGTGACTTATTTCCAGTACCTGGCTTGGGCTTGCCATATATGATTTTTGGTAAATATTTTTTTTTCTCGGTTGTTTGTTGGGCTATCTCATTGAAACTTGGGCAATGTATGATGGAAAGATGCTTCTTAACGTACAAAAAAAATAAAGAAGACGGACGATAAATAAGGGAGTTCATTAGCCGCCTCTTTGCAGTATATTTTCGTATGGTTTTTATGGTTGTATTCTCATTTTTTGGACTCATTTGATAGAATGGAAGATATATTACAGAAACAAACATGATTTTGATTGCTTTCATGACGAAAAGTACCTTGAAATTGAGCTCAAAGTAGCGGAAATGTTCGATTTTTGCCGATGTTCAATGAGCTGTGTAAGTCAAGTTGGTTAATTT